GAGCTGAAGGAGGCCAGGAGGAGTCCACGGAGGAGAGGCTGGAGACATGTCCCCGCCTCAGAACACAGTGGAGCGAGGAAAAGCCACCACTATCCTCGTCACACTGGCTGTCATGGTTTCTACAGCCACTCCGGTCTTTACAGGCCTAGATTACTATTCAGACAGAAAACTGGGGGAAGAGAAGAGGGGGTCCCAGGGAGGCTCTGCTGGGCTGGGTCAGTGTTATCCCAGGATGGACCCCTCACTTCTGCCTCACTGAGCCAAGAATCTGCACTCTGCAGGACACTGGTATGCTGGCCCAGGTTATCGTAGGAAACCTCAAGGCAGGTGAGGCCAGGGGCAGGTGGCTACCCTTAAAAAGCCTCGGAGCCACTGTGCCTGCTAGAACTTTGCTATCCCTCCTCCCAACCCTCTCCCATCTCTATCAACTCACAAAATCCGGCCCGGGGCCAGCTTGCAGAACTGGGATCCCCGAGACCGAGACGGGGGCTCCCTTACCTCGGAAAGTCACTTTGGCGATCCGGTCGCCTTTGCCTCGCAGCTCCGAGACGGTCTTGAGGTGGACGATGAGGGCCATGCCGGCGAGGAGAGCCTGGGCAGTGCCAGGCAGAGCAGCGGTAAGGAGCTAGCTGGTGGAGCGTGGCTCACACGCCTCCCTCTTCTCCTGCTGCCGCCGCCTCCTCCCGCTGCTGCCCACAGAGACCAAGGCAACCACAGCGAGCTGCTCCTTCAGCTCGGCAGAGCCGTGCAGCCCTGCCAGCCCCGCCCCTCTGAGGTGTCAGCCCAGCATGTGTATAGTGTATTGTGTTGTGTTGTGTGTGTGTGTGTGTGTGTGTGCGCGTGTTGTGCATGCAGCCAGGAGCCCAGGAATGCACACTGAATTCATTATTCAGCAGCACCAGTCCCTAAATAAAGCCCTGTCCAGCTTCAGGTGTCTACTCCCAGCTCTTTGAACGAAAGTTCCTGCAGCTTGGCAGGTCTGAGCAAACGGTGCCACTCAGAGCCAACAGATTGCAGAAGGTACGAGTGAGTGTGGGGTCAGGGCGCTTCTCATGAGGATCAGAACTTTATGACCTCAGCTTGGCTTGGGGTGCTTGTCTCTCGGACATTATCCTGTTCTGTCTAGCTAGCCACCAAGGTTGTGGGTGCTCAGAAGGCCTGGGGGTCGTGGTCAGGACAGGCCTTGGATAGATCATGCCGTGCTGCTTAGAAGGCCTCACCCAGGGGTGAGTCGGTAAAGCGTCTGCCTCACAAGCACTGAGGGCCTGAGTTTGGATTCCAGCGTCTGTGTTAAAGATGGGTACTGTGGCATGGGCTTCCAACCCGGCTCTGGGTGGGACAGGAGAATCCCTGGAGTTTAATGGCCAGCCTGCCGATCTGAATCAATCGTCTCCAGGTTCATTATAGAGACCTGTCTTTAAATGACTAAGGTGGAGAGTGACCAAGCAAGACCACTGAGGTTGACCTCAGTCTTACACACATAAACACAAACAACATGAATGCATACATACTACAGACACAGACACAGACACACACACACACACACACACACACACACACACACACATGGTGGGGGAGAAAGAGAGAGAAAATATATCGCCTAGAGTCTGGAAAGCAGCTTAGAGGAGGCACCCAAGGGCTGGCCCCTATGAAATACGAACATTAGAAGTAGCAGCGCATTGAGCACCTGGCCCTGCACTGTTTGTGCCCCTGGCATGCTCTGTCTGGGATCATGGGTTTGAATTTCAGGTAGCTGGTCCAGAGATGGGGATCATGACTGAAGATGCCCTAATGAGAGGCCACTTCTATGCTAGCCAGGACAGTGTGTAAGAGTCAGGATACCAGCCAACCCATCCAGGCTGGGGACAAAGAGCTGGGGGAGGTGACACAGTTGGTGGGCGGTTTCCAGTGAGGGGAGCTGTATTGCTCCTTGCTCTAACCAGCTGCTAGAGGTGACAGAGGGACACCTGCACAGGGACATCCACGGAACAATAGAAGACTACCTGGCCATCTCCTCTTCTAAGACTGGCTTGTACGAAAAGCTCCTCTTCTAAGAGCTGGCTCCCCTGACCCTGAGGTCCGCACACCCTTGCTCTTGTTGCTCAGTCTTGGTGGGATGTTCTTCACCTTGCTCCTGCTTCCTAGCCTGGCTCATCAGGGGCCTGTTGCCAGGGTGACTGTGACCAGCACTCAGGCAGGCTTTGGGACCCCCTTTGTGGGGCTCCTGGTCCAGGTATCTCGCACAGTCCCGGGATTGCTGACCCCAGGGAGATCCTTCACCTGTGATTTTCACCGGCCATCCTGTAATAGCGAGATGTCCAACCTACTGACAGGGCTTAGAAGCTCAGGGCCCTGTCCAAAAGAGCCTACAGGCTTTGGGCTGGCGGGATGGCTCAGCTGGTAAAGGCTCTTGCTGCTCAACCTGATTTACTGCAGTTTGATCCCTGGGACCCACATGGCAGGAGAGGACCAAGTGGACTTCTGGCTTTTAGATGTGAACTGCAGCAAAGGCACCCACAGCCACATGCACATCTACACAAACAACTGCCCTGACACACACACATACACACGGACAGAGAGTGGGAAGAACATGTGTCCTCTCCACATAAATGATAGATGATAGATAGATAGATAGATAGATAGAT